GGAACGGGGAAAAACGGGGAAAGAAACGGGGGGAAAAAAAAAAGGGAAAGAGGAGGCGGCCCCTCCCCCGCGGCGTGCGCGCTGCGTCAACGCGCCGTGCGCGCTGCGTCATCATCCTGCGCCCGCGCGCCCGCGTTGCTGTGGCAACCGAAGGGACGCCGCGCTCCGGGGAAGGCGGGAGAGGCGTGGGGCGCCCCCTGGCGCGGCGGAGGGAGCGGCGGGGGCGCCACAGCGCGGCAGCGCCATTTATGGAAGGGGCGGGTCGGGGGCGGGGTTATCGCCCGGCCCCGCCCATGGCTCGTGACCCCGCCCCCCCGCCCGGGGGTCCGGCTCGGCCCCCTCGGGGATCCCGCATCCTCCGGGATCCTCCATCCCCGGCAATCCCAAATTCTCCAAGGGTCCCACATCTCCCCGGCGATCCCACGTCACCAGGGATCCCACAGCCCCCAGGATCCTCCATCCCCGGCAATCCCAAATTCTCCAAGGGTCCCGCACCACCCCGGCGATCCCACATCTTCCCGGGGATCCTCCATCCTCGGGAATCCCACATCTCTGGAGATCCCTCATTCCCAGGGGTCTCTCATCCCCCATGGATCCCTCATCCCCAAGGTTCCCTCATCCCGCCGGGAATCCTCATCCACCTGGGATTCCCTTTCTCTGAGTATCTCCCATTCCCCGGGATCTCTCATCCCCCAGAGATCCCTCATTGGTCCGGATCTTCCATCTCCAGGTATCGCCTTTCTCCAACGTCCCCTCGACCCTCCAGAATTCCCCTTCTCTGAGGATTCCCGACCTCCAGAGATCCCCCCCGCCCTCAGGGATCCCACACCCCCCGGAGATCCCGCACACCGCACCGGGGCCTCCAGTACACCCTGGGTACCCCCGGGAGCCGCCACCACGTCTCTGCCCGTGCATGGCCGGGCTGGCACCGAGGTGGGACCGGGGTGGCACCGAGGTGGCACCGGGGTGGCCTCGATGTCCCCGCTCTGCGCCCCCCGAGCAGCAGCACCATCGGCCCCGGCTCCACCTTAACCGGAGCGGCCGCGCCGCTCTGCCCGCGCCCGGGCGGCTCCGCGGGAGCTCGGGGGCGTTTATCTCGCCCGGGATCAGCCAATATTTGTGGCCACGTCAGGAGAACGAGCCCATCCTCGCCCCGTGCTCCCGCTCAGTCCAGTTCTGTCACCCTGGCCCCGCCGCTGCCGCTGGCTCATCGCATTCGGCTTCTCGGACACTGCTGGGACTCCCACGCTGTCAGCTCTCGCCACGGGAGATGACGGTCACCGTGGTTCTCCTGCTCCTGAGCCTCCTACGGATGGCAGCAGCCAAGGGCGCGTGGTGCCCGGCCTGCGGAGTGGCCGCGCTGGCCCCCGGATCGCAGCGGGACGCGCTCCTGGCTCTGGCCAAGCAGAGCATCCTGGCCAAGCTCCGCTTGCCAGCCAGGCCCAGCGTCCCCCATCCCCCGTCCCGGGGGGCTCTGCTGACCGCGCTCCGCAGGATGCGAGCGCAGCGCTCGGACACGGCCGCCGCCACCCCCGGAATGCTCCGGGACCCAGCCCAGCCTGGGATGGGGCTGCAGCAATACGAGATCCTCAGCTTTGCCGAGTCAGGTGCGTACGGATCCCATCCTGCAGGTGGGAAGGGAGGGAAGGGAGTTGGAAGGTGCACGGCAGTGCTGGGCTGTGCACCGGGATGGAGGGAACGCTGCTGCTGGAAGGTGTGAGAGGCTCCCGAACCTCCCAAGAGTATCACACAGAGATGGGACGTGCAGGGGTGGGAGGGTGGCACAGAGTGCAGATGTGCTGCTCTATCGTGTCACCTGTTGCCCACTTCTGCTGAACCCTCCCCTTTGTGCTGGAGGCTAAGGGTCAGATGGCCACGTTTTCTGAAATTGGATTTTTAGCCTCGATTTCCTGTCAGCCCGTAGTGTGTGGACAGAGCTCCACAGCCCACTGTGCTTCCACATCCCACCCAAAACAGTGGGTGCCTCATTTCACTCCCGAATCTGCTGCTTCTGGGAGAAGACGACTCCCCAAAAGACACTCAGGGCTCCTGAAAAGCGCCATTGGAGAAAGAGTATCCCACTTCTCACCACCCCATCCCACAGAGCATCCTGCACCCTCACTTTCCCAGACCAAATTCCTCGTGGTGAAGTGGGGGGGGCTCTGCTCCCCTCGCTGGCCCCGTGTCCTCAAAGCCCTCTGGGAACAATGCTGCTCCGTGGCACATTGTGTTCCCACACTCCAGGACAATCGGGAGCTGTCTCCTGGCTTGGTGGAGCGTCGGCTGGAATCGAGCCAGGGGGTGAACCCAGGCTTGGAGCACGGGGAGGGGGTTGTGTCCTCATGGGCAGAGCTGTGCCAGGAGCCCCGAGTGCTCTCATGGCCCCATCAGACCTTTCCCGGCCAGGAGGAGCAGCAGCTCTGCAGCCAAGGAAGAAGGGAAGGCTCCAGGGAGACTTCAGAACCCCTTCCAGTACCTACATGGGCTCCAAGAGAGCTGGAGAGGGGCTTTGAACCAGGGCCTGGAGTGCCAGGACAAGGGGGAATGGCTTCACATTGGAAAAGAGGAGATTTAGATGGGATTTCGGGAACAAATTCCTCCCTGTACGGGTGGGCAGAAGTTGCTCAGAGGAGTTGCCCCATCCCTGGAAGTGTCCAAGGCCAGGATGGACAAGGCTTGGAGCAACCTGGGATAGTGGAAGGTGTCCCTGCTCATGGCCAGGAGCGGGATGAGATGAGTTTCCCTTTGCTTCACTCCTGACTCTGCTCTTGGTTCTGTGTGCAGGATCCTCCGCTTCCCACCGTGTCCACCTGCATTTCCGCTTCTCCCAGGAGGTGGCTGGGAGCACTGAGATCCTGCAGGCCACCCTCTACCTGTTCTGGGCAGCCCCTGGACCCGGGGCACAGCCTGTCACCGTCAGGCTCCTGCAGCCAGACCCAGCAGGAGCAAACATGACAGTGGCCAGCGAGACACGGCTGGAGGTGCAGAGATCCGGCTGGACCACGCTGGACGTTGGAGCCGCCGTCCGGAGCCTCTTTGGACAAGAGACCCTGCGGCTCACGGTGGAACTGGAGGTGCCAGAGGACTGGGGATCCCCTCTCCCAACTGACCACAGTGATTCCCACTGGCCATTTGTGGTGGTCCAAGCCCAGGCCAGGACACCGCACCGCGTCCATCGGCGCGGCGTCGATTGCAGCGCAGATTCGCGGATGTGCTGCCGCCAAGAATTCTTTGTGGATTTCAAGGAGATCGGCTGGGAGGACTGGATCATCCAGCCGGAGGGGTACCACATGAATTACTGTGCGGGGCTGTGCCCGCTGCACATGGCCGGCGTTCCCGGCCTGGCCGCCTCCTTCCACACCGCCGTCCTCAACCGCATCAAAGCGGCGAGCGCGGCGGCGGCCGTGGATTCCTGCTGCGTTCCCACCCAGCGCCGCCCCCTCTCCCTGCTCTACTACGACCGGGACAGCAACATCGTCAAGACCGACATTCCCGACATGATCGTGGACTCCTGCGGCTGCACCTGAGCGGTGCCGGAGCGGGTGGGAGGACAGGACACGGCGGGACAGGGCTCCTCCCTCTGCCTGGGAGGCAGCAGCTCTGCGAGGGGGTTTCTCCTCCTGTGGGTGAAGCATCAAGGTTGATGCTGAATGTGCAAGTCCCCTCCTCTCTCACCTCCCACATGGCTCTTCCCCCCTTTGGATCTGCCCATGGATTCCTCTCACAGCCCCTCAGTCCAGCTCCCGATGGACTCCAGAGCCTTTTCCTGCTGGATGCTGCAGAGCTGGGATCAGGACGGTCCTGCTGCCATCCCAGCCCAAGGTCCTGGTGTGCCCTGGGTGCGGCTACATCAGCACAGGACCCACCAGTGGCCACCCTGGGCTGCTGGGGCTGGTGAGAGCAGGGCAGGGGTCATCCCCATGGTCCCACGCAGCTGGACACGCAGCTGAGCAGGGAGAGGAAAGGGAAATCCATCCCAGTGGGAGGAATGTGTCTCCCTCTCCAAGCATCCCCGCTAGCTGGTGTTCAATAAAGACTCCCAGCAGCACGTGTGTGCCCTGTCATTCGCCAGCACATCCTCCAGTGCTCCTGGCACGGGCAGCCCTGGGATGGCATGGGACAGACCCATTCTGTCATTGAAAGCCCAGGCAGTGGGACTGGGCATCTCCACACTGCTCCCAAAGATCTCCCATGCTCTCTACCCCTCATCTATCATTCCCAGGGGGATGCAGAACCCCTAATTCATCCCAGCCAAATCCAGGGCATAGCATGGGAACCCCCTGGACACAGGTGATCTGTAATTCCCTCCAGTGTGCCATTCCTTGCTTGGGCCAAATTCCCCATTCCACCAAAACCACTTGAATTTGGCCATCCCTGCCCAAAATCAGGACAGAACTGACAAATTCTTCTGCCTTTTGAAGTGGACAAACTTTGAGGCAGCCTCAGCACCTAGGACTCTCCCATCCTCAGCCCCCTAGCCCCCAACTCCCCCACTGCAGAGCATCCCCTCAGCTCATCCCTGGCCCGCTGCCCCTCTCCGGCCTGGTGACAGCAAAGGGACATGTCAGGGCCGTGAGAGCAGGGGGCAAAGGGCGGTTCTGACACATCTGCCCCATTACATAACCAAGGGTTCTGGTTTCTCCACTGCTCCCCACGTGTCCCCCATGTGCGAGGACTGGAAAAGAGGGGAGAAGGTGCTGGGGTGGGACATTTGGGAGGGGGGTCCTGGGGTGATCCCTGAAGGGTGACTTCAGCTTTAGGGTTCATCCTGCAAGTGCTGACAACCAAGCAGAGAGGCCAGGACAGAGCTGATCCAGATGGGGAGAGGGTCGGCAGAGGGAGGACAGGGTGTCAGACCCTCTCCCCACCCAGCTTTGCATCCACTGCCCACTCCAGGATGATGAGCCATGAGCAGTTCTGGCTGGAGCCAGGGCAGGATGCACTTTGTCCCATGTGGAGAATGAAGAAGAGAAGAGCCAGGAGCAGGTGACAGTGCTTGGCCACATGCACACACCCTGTAGCAGGTGCTCCCATGAAGCCCCAATGGAACGGGAACCCCCATGTCCCCAGCCTGGAGATCCACAACCAACCCCAGAGGCTGATCCAGGTGGGGAAAGGGTCAGAAGAGTGAGGAGGTGCTCTCAGACCCTCTCCCCATCCAGCTTTGCATCCTGTGCCCGCTCCAGGATGAGCGAGCCACAAGGCACGAGCAGCTGTGGCTGGAGCAGGGATTGTTGTCCTGGAGGACCTGTGACACCTGGAGAAGGGATGGAAGGGTCACCAGCATGTATCAGCCCCCACACTGCACACATCCCACCAGCCCTGCTGGAGCAGGGACCCCCATCTCCCAGATCCAGGTGTGCAGGTGCCCAAAGCGTTCCTGCCACACGGGAAGGGAGGAAGGCTGGGGATTGATCCTGTCTGGGATCCAAGGCCACTTGCGCAAACTCAAAGAGGGTTTGGTGTTTGTTTTTTCCCTTCTTTTTCCAACGCCTCATTTCACTGTCTATATTTATTGAACAAACAACTTCTCTGGAGCCAGTGCCAAGCTTCCTGGGGTGCAACAGCTGTGGGCACACAGGGGCAAGAGAACTGTTGGCTGGTCCTGTGGACCCAGAGACCCCCTCAGCTTTAGCAGCACAGCCCTGAGATGCTGAGCTGAGACTTGTCCCACTCCCACAGGAAAGAGGCACCTGGATGCAGCCAACAGCCCCTTCCTCACCCACAGCACGGGGTGGCCAAGGCTCAGGAATTCCGAAGTGGCACTTCCCATGCAGGGTGAGGAAGGTGCAGTAAGGGAAGAGTGATTCCCTGGAGCCGGGGATCTTCCTCCCTGCCATGACACAGAGCTCTGCTGGTGTTCCCTGATCTCTCAGGAGGTTTTGGAAGGGGTGGCTCAGGCCCAGCACTGGGAGATTGTCCTGTTGGGACCAGTAAGGCCCTGGGGAGCCCACCCTGCAGCCCCCAGCACTGGGAGATTGTCCTGTTGGGACCAGTAAGGCCCTGGGGAGCCCACCCTGCAGCCCCCAGCACAGCAATGCCATGGGGACATGGCATCTATGGAATCAATCCAGATGCAGATGTGACACAGACGGGGACAGATATGATGTCCCCTTAGTCTTGCCCAGAAGGGGACAGATGTGCTGGAAGGATCCTTTGCCAGAATCAACAGCCCCTGAAGCAAAGGTCCAAGCACACTGTGCCAAGTGACCCCTGGGCAGGTCCAGCTCCCAGGAGGGGTGGGAATTTCTGACAGTCCCTTCCCTTGCCTTGAGAAGAGTTAATGTTTAATTCTCAGTCTCATGGCCCATTCCCAGCCAGTGCCACCATTGTGGGGACTGGTGCTTTTCTCCCAGGAACGAGCAACAGGGCAAGAGGAAACGGCCTCAAGTTGTGTCAGCAGAGGTTTAGATTGGAGATTAAGGAAAATTTCATCATGGAAAGGGTGGCCAAGCCCTGGAACAGGTTGTCCAGGGCAGTGGTGCAGTCACCATCCCTGGAAGTGTTCAAAAACATGTGGACGTGGCAGCTGGGGACATGGTTTAGTGGTGGTCTTGGCTGTGCTGGGTTAATGGTTGGGCTCAGTGATCCAGGCTTTTCCAACTTGAATGATTCCATGATTCTGTGATTCCGTGATTCCATGCTCAGGTGCTGCTGCAGGAGCTCTTGGGGGGTCCTGGCTTAGCCCAGCCACAGCTGTCACCTCCAGGTCAGGTCACCGGGTGCCACGTTCGCCCCAACGGCCACGGGGTCAGAGGCCCTGGAGCCATGTGTGCAGCAGGTGCTGGGCCCAGGGGGACCTTGGGGGGTATTTTGGTCAGGTCAGTCCCTGGGCTTTGCTTTCTGGGAACCGCTTAATCAACAACACAATTATGCAATGGGTGCAAGAGCTCTGCTCTGACCCCTGCCCCAGATCCGGGGCTGGAGCGTGCTGGGGGACACGCGGTGTGAGGGGCTGGGGATCGGATGCTCTTGCTAAGCTGGAGGTGGGATGGGGGTTCATGGGGTGCTGCTCCATGCAGAGGGATCCAGGCAGGTTTGACAGGGTTAATCCCTTTGGGGACACCTTGCTCCCAGCCTGGAATGGAGGGTGGGGGTTTTGGAGAGGGCCTTATCCATTTTCCCACACTTTGTCTCCTGTTTCCTGCTGTGCCACAGCCCCAGCCCTGGCTTTGGGATCTGGCAGGGATGGGGGAATACAGCACAGCAGAACGTGTGTGGCACAAGGAGCATGTCCAAAATGGAGCAGGTATCCAGATATTTGGCAGGTATTCAGATATCCTGAACATGTGTAAGTGTGCATCAAAGAATCCAGGATGGTTTGAGTTGGAGGGACCTTAAAGCTCATCCAGTTCCACCCCTTGCCATGGGCAGGGACACCTTGCAGCATCCCAGGTTACTCCAAGCCTTGTCCAATGTGGCCTTGGACACTTCAGGGATGGAACTTCTCTGAGTAACCTGTGCCAGAGCCTCACCAACCTCACAGTGAGGAATTGTTTCCCCATATCCCATCTAACTCTGTCCTCTGCCGGTGGGAAGACATCGCCCCTGGTCCTGTCACTCCAGGTGCTTTGAGAAGTTGCTCTCCATGTGGGAGCATCTTTGCCCGTGAGCACGTGTGCCCTGTGCTTGGCTGGAAGTGCCACCTGCTCCATCCTGCTCCTGCCTGCAGCCAGGGCTCCCAGGCCCTGTGGGATCCGTGCTCCCAGGCCAACCTGTGCCCACTCTTTTCTCTCTGTTGACATTCCTGGGCTATTCTGGGAGCTGCCAGCGGGCCCAGCCAGCTGAGCCCTTTGCCCCTTGCTCTGTGGTTGCATCACCTCCGGTGGGTGCTTTTTCCCAGACTCTGTTTACATGGCACCTCTGGCTTGGCCAGGGCCAGGGTCTCCATGTGGTCAAGACCTTGGAGTCGGTGCACGGCACGGTGGGCACAGGACATGCCAGAGCACTGACTTGGCAGGGCTTCAAGTTCTCTGGCTTCCCTGCTCCAGCTGGGCTCTGCCAGTCCCCCAACACTGTGGCATCTTGCATCACTTTCGTGAGGTTTCTGCCAGCCCTTGCCCTACCTCAACCTGCACATCCCGCTTTGAAGAGTCTGAGAAACATCTTCAGGTTGATGTGACACTGGGTGGCACCTCCTGAGCCCTCAGGACACACGAATCCCCTTTTTATTGTGCCAGGAGGAGGGTACACGGTGCATGCATTCACCGGCCCTTCCCAGCTCTGCCCCGGGCTGAGGATGGACCAAGTGGTCCAAGGGGTGGGCTCAGACCCCCAAACCCATCACCTGCTGGGAGTGACAAAAGCCCAGAGATGTGACAGTCCCCAGGAGCTGCAGAGTCATTCCAGGGGCTCCTTGATCCCTTCAGGATCTTCTGTCAGCACCCAACGGGACTGTCACTGCCAGGACGGCTCGAGGGTGCCCGAGGGGCAGTGCCCAGGCTGGGGACAAGTCTGTGGGATCCATGGATGAGCAGCTGAGCTGGGATCCCTCTGCCTGGCTGCTCTAGTGCTGGGGCTCCTCTGCCAGCAAGGATTTGCCCCAGCCCTCACTCCCTGAAAGTTTTGGAGGATCCTGCTGCCTGTACTGAGGGGCTGGCCGGGATTTCTCTTCCCCGTGGGCAGATGCCCGTGTGCCCCGCAGGCAGAGCCCAGCGCACACAGAGCCCCTTCCCCACGCAGCCCTGCACATTGCTCTGTTTGCACACACCCTAGGAAGCTCCCCCTCACCCCTCTCTCGTGTTCAACCCACGCGGGCACGGCGGGGGTCGCTGCTCGGCCCCCCGAGCTACTCCTCCCGCAGCGACCCCGCGGTTGGCGGGGACCGGGAGCGGGGGAGGATGGGGGGCTGCTCACCGACCCCCCCGCGGGGAGGCGGGGGTGGGGTGCTAATCCCGGTAATCCCCGACGGGACGGGACAGGCAGGTGCGGCGGCCAATGGCGGGGGGCGGGGGGGCGGCGGGACCGCCCCCGGCCGCAGGTGCCCAAAGCAGGCCCCGCCGCACCGCTCCCGGTGCTGCTCCCGTCCCGTCGGCGCCGCTCCCGGTGCCGCTTCGCTTCCATCGAAGCGGTCCCGTTACGCCGTTCCCGTCCGCTCCGTGCCGGTCCCTCGGTGCCGGTGCCGCCCCATCAGTGCCGCTCCCGGTGCTCATCCCGTCCCGTCCGGTGGGCGCGGATGGCGGCGCGCGGCTCGGGCCCGTGGCTGCTGCTGGCCGTGGTTCTGTGCGCGGCGGCTGAGCCGCGCTGCCCGTCGTGCCCGGCGGGCGTGGAGCGGCGGCTGCTGGAGGAGGTGGCCAAGAAGCAGCTGCTGGAAAAGCTGCGGCTCCGCGATCGACCGCGGCTCGCCCACGCTGTGCCCCGCGCCGCCGTGACCCGCGCCCTGCGGCGGCTGCAGGCGGGAGGCGCCCACCGGAGCCCCGATGTTACCGGCGAGGAGGAGGAGGAGCAGGGCTACGAGATCATCAGTTTCGCGGAGACAGGTGGGTGCGCGACCCCCGTGGGCGCCCACACCGTCCCCGACGGGGTGCGGGAGAGCCCGGTGAGCCCTGGGGCGAGGGGTCCGTGTCCTGCGCCCTGGGAACCCCGAGGGACGCGCAGCCCCGGGGGGTGCGGGACCCGGAGCCACGAGGGCTGTGCGGAACTCGGGAGTCACCGCACCCGTCGCGCATCAGTGACATCCCAGGGCCGGGATGGGGAGGGGGTGCCTCTCCTGCTCCTGCCTGTTGGGACCCTGCACCCGAGGGGCTGCAATGCCGGTCCTCTATCCCCCAAAAACAAGAGGCTCCCCCGGGTGCCTGAGACTCCTGAGTAGTTAGAGTTGAGTGCTGGAGGATTAGCTTGGGCGGCTGGAAACACTTTCCAGCCTCACCCTGCGAAGAAAGGCCAGGTGAGACCTGGGGTCCCCCTTCTGCACCCCTTCTGCCAGACAGAATGGGACAGTTCCCCCATTCCGGGGCTGCATTCCCAGGGAAGGGTGAAGGACAGGCGAAGCTGGAAGTCTTGACTCGGTGGATGGCCGGGGAGCATCCCTCAGCGCTCACCTCGTCATCCCTTTCTCCCCTCAGATCTCACATCTCCCTCCAGTTTGGGGCTGCAATTCCAGTTCAGCCAAGCGCAGGACCAGGACATTCGCATCCTGCAGGCTCAGCTCTGGCTCTACCTGCGAGTGCCCCGGGCCAGCCTCACCCTGAGGATCTTCCTGGCCGGTGAAGCCGGGGCCGTGGCCGGGGGCAATCGCACGCTGCTGGGGGAGAGGCGGCTGAGCACGGCGGGCAGCGGCTGGCGCTCCTTCTCCCTCCTGCCGGCCCTGCAGAGCTTCTTTGGGGGACAGAGCCGGACCCTGCGGCTGGAACTGGAGAGCGGCGGGGATGGGAGCGATGTCATGGCACAGGTCAATGCCAGCTGGTCCCACCAGCCCTTCCTGGTGGCCAAGGTGAAGGTGAGGGAGCCCGAACACCACGTGGCCAAGCGCAGCCTCCGCTGCAGCCAGAACTCCAACCTGTGCTGCCGCAAGGATTACTACGTGGACTTCCGTGACATTGGTTGGAACGACTGGATCATCAAGCCCGAGGGCTACCAGATAAACTACTGCGTGGGCCAGTGCCCCCTGCACGTGGCAGGCAGCCCCGGCATGGCCTCTTCCTTCCACACAGCCGTCTTCAACCTCGTCAAAGCCAACAACGTCCAGGCGTCGGGGAATTCCTGCTGCGTGCCCACGCGGCGCCGCCCGCTCTCCGTCCTCTACTTCGACCGCAACAGCAATATTGTCAAGACTGACATTCCCGACATGATTGTTGATGCTTGTGGCTGTAGTTAGGGCTGGGGGAGCTGTGCTGGGACCCCTCCTTCTCCAGGACTGTCCTTTTGGTGGAGGGGGAGGGAACTGGAGAGCTCCATGAGCTGGAGTCAGCCCTCGGTGCAATGGACCCCTTTGGAAAGGCTGGGAGGGAGAGGGTCTCGTCAGGGGGAGCAGGGAGTCTCCAGAGAGTGCCTGGAGCAGGGGGCTCTGGGGACATAAGGGACAGAGCCAAGGCCACATTGGACTGCCCAAGCCTGGGCTGTGAGTGTTGATGACTCTGGACATCCCTGCCTGCACTCTTCCCAAGCTGATCCCACATTCCTGGTGGTTCCGGGTGGTTCCTGATTCCCGTATTCCCCTCGGTGTGGGAGCCCCACTTGGTTCACATTCAGTGTCCCATGAGGGGTTGGGACGTGGCTTCCTTGGGGGCAGAGGGAGATGCAGAAACAGAGCTGCTTCCTCCACGTGGGAATCTGGAGGACAAGGCAGTCCCACTTGTTCCCCTTCTGGAACAAACCTTCCTGCATCCAATTCAGGCCTGGGGGACAGAGAGAACGAGGCACAAATAACAAGCTTGGGAGAGGAGGATGAAGGCTACGACTTCATCAAGAACCCCAAAACTGCAGTGACAGGACAAAGTTCTCTGATCCTGGATGGCATGGAGCTGTGAGGACCAAGCTTCCAGGTCCTGTGTGCTTCCCCTTTCCCTGGGTTTGTGCTTTCCTCCCCTGCTCCCACCCACTAGCCAGGTCTCCTCCAGCCTGGTGCCTCTGGCTCAAACTTTGCCTTTCAAGACCACACTCAAGGCACAGATTTGATTTGTGCCACTGGTTTTGTAGCTATTCCTACTTTCTCAGTTCCTGCAGCCATTGGGACTCCCTGATGCTCCATTCTCTACCAAAGATCCCACTCTGCCTTCCCCTTCCTCATGCACTCACATGGCCTCTGCTTTAATTTATTATACAACATTTTGGTGTAGCTTCCCAAATAAATGGGTGGAAATGCAAAATCCAGGCTCCGGCTGCTTTTTCCTGGGGCCACCTGCACGGGTGGGGTGAGGGAGAGGGGTCCTGCTTGGCCAGGAGGGCTCAGATCCCTCAGGCACTGGGGCTGGAGTAGCACAGCAGCTGCACTGCCATGCTGAGAGATGTGGGGAGCTGTGGGGTTTGAGGGGCTCCTGGTGTGCTCACGAGGCCTCTGCAGGGGGATCCTGCCTGCAAGTGGAGTTCCCAGGATTCAAGCAGGAGTTGGGAACCAGGTACTGCCTCACTGGGAACTGGAGAGGGGTGCTGTGCAGTATCGAAGCTGTGTCCCAGCAGGGGACGTACTGGGAGGCATCGCCCAAGTGGAAAATGCTGTTCTCCACCTGGAACAATCCCAAATGGAGCTCTGGTCACTCTGGCTCCAGGGGAGTGATTTCAAATGCTGAGCCACAGCCCACCCCCAAATTCTGGGCCCCACTGCAAAGTCCCTGACCATGTGCCACCTCCCCAGTCCCCATCGTGGGCTCCTCTAAACACGACCCGGTGACCCCAGTCTCAGCCCCATCACAGACAGAGGGTCTGGTGGGTGATGGGGGGGGTTTCTCTTGCAGGATTTGGGGATGCTCCCGGAGAGGACAGCAATGCCCCCTTCTCATCCCGCTGAGATCCCACACGCTGGCCTGGGTCCCCGTTGCGCAAGCACCCGCTCAAAGCTCAGTTTGGGGCTGTTTTATCTGGGGACAAACCTCCTTGATTTCCCAGCTTGGCCCTGCCAGTGACCAAAGGGCAGCTTTCATCAGCCAGGGCAGCGGGCAACCCCCGGCGCCCGGGGCACTGCGGCCATCTCCGAGCTCCCAAAATATCCCTGCTGTGGGCAAAAGCCAACAGGATGGTGCCTTCAGGATGCCTCAGCCTCCCGGGCGCTGCCACAGCCCCGGGCCGTGTCCTGGGGGCACGTGCTGCCATGCACACGCTGGGAGCTGGATGTGCAGGGAGCGCAGGGGATGTGTGTGGTGTCTGCAGGAACACCCTGATCCCCTCTCCCACATCAGCATTCCCGTACGGAATGCATCCAGCCACGTGGAGCATCCCACCGAGACGGCAGAAACGTGTTTTGTGTTGCCAGCAAGGGAAGTTTTCCTGTTTTCCGCCGTGGCAGTGAGTGTGTTCCCGTGTGGAGGGGGCCGTCCACATGCGTGTGCACGATGTGCTGACTCACTGACACACTGACACACTGCCCCCACACCGAGCTGCTGAGCTGGCCATGATGGCACCGCTAAATCCCTAATCTGGGGGATCATCTGGCCCTGCTCTGAGCTGCTTTGACTTTCCCAAACAGGAGACCGGGATTATTCCTGAGGTGGAGGATGCGGCAGGGTCGGGGTGTGGTGGTTGAGAGCTGCTCCGAGGGGATGTCCAGGTGTTGGTTACACCCAGGGCTGGGAGCTGCTGGCAGAAGGCACCTGGGACAGTCTCGCCGTGCAGGTGGTTCCGTGAGGAGAGGGGGGTGGGCTCGAGGCAAGTCCCTGGACCCCAAGCAGCTTATCCAGGGTCACACTCATCCCAGGGGTAAAGCTGCTGAGCCGCTTATGGCCGTTACAAAACGGGGATGGAGGCAATCCCTCACCTGCACCACCCCCTCACCTGTGCCCACCCCTCGGCCCTGCTTCGGGGCTGCTGTGGTGGAACTCGAGCCATGGCAGAGTCTGGGGGCACCCCAGGACCCCACTGCTGCTTCCCCCTCCTGCCAGAGGAAGGAGTTGAGCCTGCAGGCGTTGTCATCTCCCCCGTGCGCTGGGGGGTCCCCGGGGAGCAGAGACCCCTCCTCACCCGCACTGTGGTGAGGGGGCAGCAGGGAAGGAGTTGATCTCAGATGATGACAGTAGGGAGGGAAACTGAGGCAGGGAATGGATCCAGCTGGGAGCTGAGGGGTCCTTGCTGTCCTTGCTGTCCCCGTGCTGCCGCTCTGCCCTGGGGGTCCCGGAAGCCGCAGCCGGTACGCGATGACACCGAGGGACAGGGGACAGGGGACAGGCTGATGCCGGGCACACAGGAGTTCCTGGCGGGGTAATCCCGGTAAGCGGCTCCGGGGTCAGCGGGTGCACGGCGCGGCCCCGGCGCGACACCGGTGCGGGGAGCGCAACGAGCGCCACCGGGCGCCACCAGGGGGCGCTGCCCCGCCGTGCGCCCCCCCCGCCCCCGGTCCAGCCCCGACCCCCGCCCGGGACCACCCGGGACCCCCGGGGTGGGGATGGGTCCCATGAGCGTGCGTGGGCCGGAGGGTGTGACCCCAGGGTATGACCCTGCGGGTGCGTGGGCTGGAGGGTGTGACGCCCGTGCCCCCCCGAAAGTGTGTGCTGCTTTCCCCGCGTGTGCGTGTGCAGAGCAAAACGGGCGGTATTTATTTCAAATAAACATCCGTAATTTTTGGGTCAGGGTTAGGGGCTGGGAGTGTGACCCTGCGTGTGCGTGGGCTGTGTCCCTCCGCGTGGGCGTGGGATGTGCCATCCGGTGGGTGCGTGGTCTTTGCCCCTTGCGTGTGAGTGGAATCGTTGCTGTCTCCCCTGCGTGTACACGGGCGGTGCCTCCCCCGTGTGCGTGTCCGGGGCTGCGGGGTGTTCTCCGCCCGTGTTCGTGGGCTCTGCGGCCCGCGCGTGTTTGTGTGCGGGCCGTGTCCCCTGCTCGTGCGTGTAAACCAGCTGTAGCACCCGCGTGTGCGTGGGCTGGAGGCTGCGACCTCGCTTGTGGCTGGGCTTGTGCTCCCCGTGTGCGTGTGCTGCATCCCCTGCGTGCGCGTGGGGTGGTGGCTGTGTCCCTCGCGTGTCCGTGTGTGTGTGGGCAGTGCCCAGCACGTGTGCGTGTCACCGAGCTGTGTCCCCGGCGTGTGCCCCAGCTCGTGCATGGGCTGGTGGCCGTGCCCTCCTGCGAGTCCGTGGGCTGTGCCCCCGTGCGTGTGTGTGGGCTGGAGAATGTCACCCCCATCTACGCGAGGGCTGTGTCCTTCGCGTGTACGTGTGCGAGGGCCGTGCCCACGCTTGCACACACGCGTGCACCGTGTGCGCGCTCACACGTGCACGCGTGATCCCTCACACGAGTGGGCACCGCTCCGTGCGCACAGGGGTCCCCACACACGCGCCCCGCGCCCGCGCGCACCGGCCACGCGTGTTTCCAGCTCTGTGCGTGTGTGCTGCCGTGTGCGGGACCCGCCGGACACCCCGCGGACACGCGTGGGGTTCTGCCGGCCCCGAGCGAGCGGGGCCGGTGCGCGCGTGGGGGGGGTGCGCGCGGGCGCGGGGCCGTGCGTGTCCCGGATCCATCCCGGGTTTTCGGGGCCGCCGCTCCCGGCCGGGGTCTCCGTCCCGAGCGCGATCGGCGCCGCCGCCGCCGCAGTTGGCGGAGCGGGACCCGCCGGGATCCGCCGCCCCCGCGGGGCTCCGGTAACTTACTCCGAGCGCCCGGGGCGGGCCGGGGGAGTGCGGGGGGCGCCGTCCCGTCCCGTCCCGTCCCGCCCCATCCCGGCCGCCGCCGTCCCCCCCTGGATGTGCCGCTTCTCTCCCAGACCGAACCGCCGCCGCCGCCACCGGGGGAACAGGGGACACGGAGCCGCCGGAGCCGCCGCCCCGCCCGGGGCCGCTCGGAGCCCCCCCAGAGGTAGGAGCCGTCGGGCTGGTCCGGGCCGCGGAATCCTCGTTCCCGGGATGGCGCCGATCTCTCTGCGGGCCATCCCAAAGGCTCCGCCGGGGGACCGGGATTTCCACCGGGGCTCCCGGCGTGGGGGGACCGGCCACGCGGGGCGGGCAGAGGGGATCGGCCCCACGCGTGCCCCGTCACGTCCCCTCGTGCTCCCGCCCACGTCCGCACGCTCCCGCCGCGCTTTGAGCGCCCGGTGGGTGGGAGATTGGATCGGTGTGTGGGTGGGCTGGGACGGCCGCACCGGGCCGGTGGAGCCGCTCGCAGCCCGCGGAAGGGAGGCTGGTTCGGGGCTGGGGGCTGCTGAGGACTGCCGAGTGCTCCTGGGTGCTCCTGGGTGCTGCTGGGTGCTCCTGGGTGCTCCTGGGTGCTCCTGGGTGCTCCTGGGTGCTGCGGGCTTTGCCTGCACTGGGGATGTTGGATTGGGAGCAGCAACCAAGTGAAAGTTGCTGTCCCGGCCGCGGTGACGCAGCAGCCTCAAGGACTGTCCCGGGGGGCTGTGCCAGCTGTGCCACCCACCCTGCCAGCCCCTGGCCCCCCTGAGCCTCGTATCCCACCGGCCGCGGTGCCCACAGTGCTCCAGCACCGGCCTCGTGGGCCTCCGCACCCAGGAGCTTTGGCAGGGCACAGGGGTGGCCCCAGGGCCGGATGGACCCCATGGGCAGCACCCGCTGTTCCCGGGGCCCTGGCACGGCTCCGAGGGGTTGGCACGGGGATAATGGGTGCTCCCAGCCCCGTGATGTCCTGCCAGGCCATGTGATGGCACTCGGCGCTGCTGGAACGGCGTGGGGGCTGCACCTCTCCCGAGAGGATGGGGATGGAGAGCATGGAGAGGACGGAGCTGAGCGGCGGCTGTGGAATTTGGGGGACTCCCAGCACTGCGCTGGCAGTCTGAGGGCTGCAGCCTCTCCTGGGAGGGTGGTGAGGACAGAGAGAAGGCGGCTGAGGAATGGCTGTGGCATTCCAATGCTCTGTTTGGGGACTGGGAAACTACTGGATAGTCCAGCCACAGCTGGGGTCCTGCTCCCAGCCCTGGAAGTGATTTGGGGACCTGGCAGATGCTGTTGAACACCCTGATTCCATGAGTTTCCTCCCGCTCTTCTGCGTGTGCCAAACCTGAGCTGATGGATGCGGGTGGGCACTGAGTTTTGGGGGAAGGGAGGAGGAAGCAGCTGGATGAAGTTTCTTCTTCAGAAATTCAGACCTAGGAAAGCTTTCCAGTTTTCCTGCTGCGTCCAGCTGAGGCAGAGGCTCCCTCTGCGCGGGACAGGGTATGGTTGCTTGGGGGGATCCTCGTCTCCCCCATAGCCCAGGGTCTTTTCCATCACAAAACCAA